GTAAGGGCCATCCCAGCCACAGCGGGAGTGGTAACCCGTGTGGAATTGATAAGTCCTTAGAATCTGGCTCCTCGAAGGGATTCCACGACTCGGAAGCTTTCCGCTCGGATTGCATCTGGGTGCAGTACAGGCTAACCACCGTACGCCCGTCTCCTCTCTTTCTAACTCCCTCCGCCCTACCCCCCATTCCCGGTCAAGCGGACTGGTGGGAACCTAGTCGATGGCTGTAAACTCCGGTGTGAGCGAGATAGTCAAGAAACCCGGCCCTCAACTGGGAGCCTGAAAACACCGGATCCCATACCGAACTCCGAAGTTAAGCAGGCGGGTCCTCGTGTCAAAGCGGGGTGGGTAGGGCCCACATTTTTTCTTTTTTGATAATTTTATAGGTAAAGTGAATCCGGCTCTAAGAAGTATTTTAACTGCCGGTTGCACGGAGGTGATTCACGTCAAAAGCTTAGTGCCACACTGCCGCACTGCCGGCGATCGACAGTGACGGTACGGTAGGCAAGCCCGCTCGCACGCCTGAGTCTGGTACAGAATCAGCAGAAAAAAGACGTCGCGGATCAACCGCACCCACCCCGATTATAAGATATATTGCAAAAAAGGACAACAATGTAAAACTAAAAGTTTGGTTGTACAATTATTTTATTAGCTGTCAGTCAGCCATCCATGTGTAGCTAACTTTTCTTTTTGTTTCGAGGAGACCCCTAATAAACCCAGCGTGATCCCTGCCTTCTAGCACACGAAATCCCTGGAGGACGGCCACAACCTGATGAACAACTTGAACATGATGAACGTGACCACCCTCCAGAAGGAATACCCCTACGTGCCGTGGATGGAGTATCTGAGCCGCACGCTGCCTCCAAGTGTCAACCTGACTGAAGCCGAGATGATCGTTGTCGAGGATCCGGGTTACCTGAAAGGCCTGGGCGCTGAGCTCGCCAAGGTACCTAAGAGGCAAGTCGACCAGGTCGAGGCAAGGGTGCCGCCACGGAGATGCTTCCTTTAACGCCATCCTTGTGCTCCGTGTCCCAGGACCCTAGCCAACTTCATGGTGTGGCGCGCGCTTCAGGACTCCGCGCTGCCCTACATGACCAAGCAGGCCAGGAAAAACGTGGGGGAGGACCAAGACGACCGACCAGACAGCTGTGTCAAGCTGGTACAGCACCAATTGAGGATGGCGACGGCGGCCATGTACGTCCGCAGGTTCTTTTCGGAGGAGGCGAGAAAGAAGGCCCGGGAAATGGCCCTGGATGTCAGCAAGGAAATGTACCGCCTGCTGGAGTCCGTCGACTGGATGGACCCCACGACCAGGTGAGTTCTGCAGAGACACAGACGCCCCAACGCGAACTGACCCTTTTTCTTATCGTTTTTTTTTCCGCTGAGCTTAGTAAACGTTTTGCCCCAGGAACAAAACGTTTTTGGGAGGATGAAAATCTTTATTGCCACACTTAAAGATTTGGGCGGCAAACATAACCCTTTTCGCTTTTTCCGACTGAGAGAAAATTCTCAGTGCAATTGGCTCAATTATACACTTGACCATAGTGACCGAGTTTACGACCTGCGAGTGTCCGAGAGGACGAGTCAACAAAAAAATTGTCACCCAAGGCCATATTGTCGGCGTCGCGCGCAGCGGGTGCGAACGCCACACACACACACACGCAAAAGGGAAACCAAAACAGACTGTCGCATGTCCTCCTTACCTACAGGCGATCGGCCATGATGAAGGCGGAGGTCATGGGCTACCACATCGGCTTCCCCGACGAGCTGCTCAACGACACCGTCCTGGACGACCACTACAGCTGGGTCGAGCTGGACGAGGGCCGCCTGATGGAGAACGTCATGGCCCTCGACAAGGAGAGCAACCGCCGCTCGCGGGAGAAGCTCCGCACCCGAGTCAAGAAGAGCGACTGGACGTACATGACGGGCTTTGCGGACGTCGTCAACGCGTACTACGCCCACGGGGAGAACAGCCTTAGTACGTCCAGTGGTATTTTAAGTTGAAGACGTGATGCGGAAAGGCAGGGGTCAACAACTGATCAGTGACGCTCTTCCTCTCCTTCCTCGACCCAGGCATCCCCGCCGGCATCCTGCAGGGCGCGTTCTTCCAAAAGGACCGGCCACAGTACATGAACTACGGCGCCATCGGCTTCGCCATCGGCCACGAGGTGTCGCACGGCTTCGACGAGACTGTGAGTGCCGGCCCGGGCCGAGTCGTGCGAGCTGGTCAGACGACAGCCTTATTTGCGTTTCTGTGTTTGCAGGGCGGCCTCTTCAACATGAACGGGCTCATGGAGAACTGGTGGGAGGAAGAGACGAGGAAGCGTTTCGACGAAAAAGTGCGATGCATCGTTGACTTGTACAGCACTTTGAAGAGCGAGGAGCTGAACGTCACGGTGAGTCTCGGGTGGCCCGAGCGCCCGCTAGATAGGCAACCCATCCGACGCGGCGGTCACAGTGGTGGCGATCGGAAGGGAGGTTGTCGTCGCCTGAAGGCGTCAATCCGACGCACGGCAGTGCTTGCGGTGGGCTCCCAGTGAAACGCAACTATGTGTCCAGGTGAACGGGGTGCTGACGCAGAGCGAGAACATCGCAGACAACGCGGCCCTCAAGTTGGCGTACCAGGCCTACAGAAGGTACACGTCGAGGCACGGCCAGGAACCGCGCGTTGTTATTCCTACCACCGTGCACCCCTCGGAGACCCCAACGGAAGGGGTAGGTAAGCCAGCTGTGCCGACACCGACGAGCATCTCTCTCAAGCCCAAGCAGATGTTCTGGCTGTCTTTCGCCTCCGTTTGGTGCGGCAAGAATTCGAAGGCAGAACTTAACCGAAAGCTGAGGACCAGGTGAGCGGAGGTTGAGTTCGTTGAACTACTGAAACCTGTGTGATTTCTTTATCAAATGTCTCTTTGTATCAGCTCCCACTTGCCGGGACAATACCGCGTCAACGGCGCTGTGCGGAACCAGGCGGCGTTCGCGGCGGACTTCAACTGCCCGCTTGGGACACCGATGAACCCCATCCACAAATGTGAGGTGTGGTGATTTAGGTCTTAACTTCTATCAAGTACAAAATACTCGTCTAGTCTTTGTGAATACATTAATTCGTTCCATAATTTTTGTTTCTGTAAATATCGTCGTCGTATTCTGCGAGTACTCTGTGAGTATGAGCAATTCTTTAGTGTAAATAGTAAGTAATTAATAAGCGTATGAATCAGAACACAAGTTATTTGTTTTTTTCTGTAAGAACTTTGTATGAAATTACCACTGTGTAAGGGAAGGGCTTCATCACCGTTGCTGCTTCCAATTTGAAAAAAAAAAACCTTTTTTTAGAACTCTCAAGCTATGGCCAATTACTTTATTCGTTAACAAAAGAAATAAAGCTCTCAATTAAAGTCAATAAAATTTACACAGAGACATGAAATAGATGTTCAAGAAACAGCTTTTTCTCCATCATGGCACTGCTAAGTATAGATGCCAGTTGTTATGATAATATTCTTAACATAATCTATTTTCTTAAACTATCATAAATCACAATTGTAAACAAAACTTATACTGAGCACTTTTTAAATATAGCGCATAAAAAATTCTTCTGACTGATAAAATCTCTAACATGTTGAGTGCAGCTAAATTCTTTGACCCCCATGATTTAACTCAGGATGTAGACCGGTGTAGCCATGACATGGCTGCTTTGCACTCAACATGTGAGCGTTTCAATTATTCTTCTCTTGTACTGCACAGTTCGATCACTAGAGGTAGTATGCAAAACGGAATAACTAGTAAAACGATTTTTTTTTAACATAGATCAATTTTTAGGTAAAATTATGAACAAACTATATGAACGAGAAATGACAAATTTGTACAGATGTTTTCTTACATATCTACAAGGCTTATTTTGAGCAGATCATCTTACGCACAGCGTAAGGGGCGTAAGCTGTACGCGCTAGAGAGCTGATCGTACGCGAACACGCAACCTTTGCATGACTCACCGGAACAAGGGTTTCACATCAACGCAGTAAACGCCGATTGTCAGTTTCGACGGCCTGACCTATTCAACCAACCCACTGATATAAATACTAGTTTACCCGGTTTCACCTCCCCTCTGCCGGATATTCGTATGTCAAAAACCTAGTGCGAAATACATGGTGAAAAGATGTCGAAACGATATCATTTCGACAATTGTTTGTCTTCATTGACACGGTTATGACATCTTTTCGACTTCGATTCGATACCCTGTTTCGCACTAGGAATTCGACCCAAGGGCAAAGTAAACATTATTCTAGTCGATGGCGATTTTAAACACCGGCGCCCAAACGTGTAACTGCAGCACAAACAGAGTGTCCAGGTCTTCATAAACGAGATAGGCCGGGACTCGCCCGGCACCTCTCCACCCACTAGTACAGCGTGTCAGAGGTGGCGTGGTGGTGCCGGTGACCGGGGTGGCGCACAGAGCTGTGCCCGTTGAGGCCGTGCCCGTTGTGGGCGTGGCCGCTGTGGCCGTGGCCGTTGAGGCTGTGGCCGCTGTGGCTGTGGCCGTTGCCGAGGCCGTGGCCGTGGCTGTGGCCGTTGCCCTGCCCGTGGCCGTTGCCGTGGTGGCTGGGGCTGGACGACTCGGACGACGAGCCGAGCGCGCTCTTGTGCGTCGAGTCGTTGGAGCCCGAGCCCCCGGAGCCGGACCAGGAGAAGCTGGGCGGCCGGATGCCGGCCTTGTCGCCCAGCCCTTTGCCGGAGAGCCCCCGCTTGGCGCGGCCCACCACGCGGCACAGCCCCGCCAGACACGCGCAGGGCAGCGCCTCGCCCAGCCCGCGTACCACCTTCTCCGTGCACGTGAAGGCCAGGAAGATGAACAGGCCCTGCAGCGTGTTGAGAGCCACGAACGCGTACCTGGAACAGAAGGACAGGGCTCAAGGGCTGACTCCGCGGGCTCTCGGTAGCATGAGGAGAAGAACAGGCGGGAGCACCACGCGCATACCACAGGGCGTCGATGTCGAGGCAGCCGGCGATCAGCCCCACGGTCCAGGTCAGCCCCATGACGATGGCGAGCCGGATGTAGAGTCGGAAGTCCCTCCGGGTGCCGGAGGTGCCGCCGGGCGGTGGCGGCGCGTAGCGCAGCGCCGGCGCCGTCCGGACGATCATGAGCGCCGAGGAGGCGAAGAGCACCACGTTGAGGAACATGATGACGGCCAGCGGCGCGGCGAAGAACACGAGGAGGGCCTTGCGGTGCGCGAACCAGCACGCATGCAAGCCGAACCTGCAACGTGAAAGACGCGTGGTTAGACACCTGCTGGGGGCGCCGCCGGACTGCTGGTCGAGTGCTGGGAGCGGCGGTACTCACCCTGGTCGGAACTGGTCGTCGACGGTGCCGGGGGCGGCCGCGTCGACGAAGAGCGCGGCGCACACGATGGCGGCCGGCATGAGCCAGGTCCACACCGAGTACAGCACGAACTTGCGCCACTGCTTGCCGGCGGACACGCGCAGCTCGCACGTGGCGAGCCGCAGCGTGCGCCACACGTCCAGCGCCATGGTCAGCATCCACGAGAAGGAGGCCAGGAAGCTGTAGTAGGTGAGCACGGCGGCCACGAGGCAGGTGGTGCCGCTCTCGCGGCCCATGAGCTGGCCGGCGATGAAGCTGACGTAGGCCACGAGCAGCGACATGCACAGCGAGGCCAGGTTCTTGCCCGACAGGTTGCGCAGCTCGGGCACCAGCGCGAAGGCGAGCAGGTGCAGCAGCAGGAACACGACGGACACCCCGAGCCCGGCCAGCGTCACATACCTGGCACAAGCGGAGGGTATAAGAAACTCGACACGCTTCACTCCATCCGGACCCGCAACTCTGTCAACTCGTGTTAGTACTTACCCCATGTAGGGCCCGAACTTGTCGACAAACTGGATCCCGCTGGCGTAGGTGCAGATGGCGAGCCTGCCGTCGGTCGTGAGCTCGAACTCGCCCTCCCTGAACGTCCTGTTGTACACGACCACGGTGGCGTTGCGGCGGTCGGCGGACAGCTCGAACTCGGAGGGCTCGAGCAGGAACTTGGGGCACGCGTCGAAAGCCATCTGCCTCTCGAAGAGGTCGCCGTCCTCGTCCTGAGGGTGGTGGTGCGGGCCGAGGTCCTGGGTGCTGCCGGACGCGTTGGCGCCGCCGCTGCCGCCGGAGGGGAAGGGGAGGGCGGGCGTCAGCGAGGACATCCGGGTGCCGTTGATGCACGACCCCGACGCCGCGCCCGCGCCCGAAACCGGGCACACCACGGACCGGCACGTCCGGAAGAAGGGGTCGAACAGCTGGCCGTTGGGGCAGAGCCGCACCTGCAGGTGGGAATTCAAGAGTTGAAGAATCTATCGAAGGTGGTGGAAGAGGGGGTCGGCTACTATGGCGTCAAGGGCGCCGAGGGCGCGGAACTCACCGTGCCGACGGCGGCGCTGTCGGCGTAGTTGAGGTCGAAGAGCACGGCGAAGGCGATGGGGCTGAACTCCTTGTTGTAGGAAGAGCGCGTGAGCGCCTTCTGGCACTGCAGGAAGTGCAGGCCGACGTTGTTGCAGATGGCGCAGTGCGCGTTGCGGTAGGGGGTCTTGTCCAGGTACACGTAGGCCGTGTACGCCTCGCATCGTGACCGCACCTGCGGGGGGAGGAGCACCGCATCGCATCACGCAAACGTCAAGATCGGTCAAGATGGGTAATGGGTAGAATTAAGGGTAAAATGCGGAAAAACAACAACAACACATGAGACGACACGGATCCTGTTTACCGCAGCGATGTGTCACAGCCGCCCTACTGACCCTCCCCCCCC